TATTATTTTTGTTCCTCCTAATAAATCTTTGCCTAACCCAAAGACACTGAGCTTTTCTTTTATGGATTGTTTTAAAGGTTTCATAATTTTTAAGTCCTACATTTAGGACGATGGCCCATTTCAAGATAATTTTTGTGTGTAATGTGCAGTATAATTGAAATATTTTTTTAAAAAGATGGATATCCAATTTTTTGCAGCATAAATGAAAGACTATCCTTCCCTCCATTGGATTTTCTTGGAAAATTTGTCAGAAATTAATTGATAAAAAAAAAGAAATTAATTGATCATATATATGTGTATCTTTTTCTGCATTCTTTATTTTTTCTGTTGATCTGTTTGTCTATCTTATGTTAAAACCTTAATACTTGATTAGAGTAGCTTTATAATAAGCTTAAAAATCAAGTGGTGTGAGTCTTTTAAATTTGCCCTTTGTTTCAGAGTTGTTTTGGCTATATCAGATGTTTTCATTTCCACATAACTTTTAGAATTAGATTATCCATTTAAAAAATCCTATTATTTTGATTTGGATTGAATTAATCAATTAGGGAAAAATTTACATTTAGCTATATTGACTCTACCAAATCATAAACATCGTCTATATCTCCAGTAAGACTGCTCTAGATCCTCTTTAATTAGAGTCTTTGCTATACAGTTACTACATGTATTTTGTGAGAGTTATTCCCAAATATTTCATGGTTGTTGATATTATCATATTAGTATTTTTGTTTAAATCTCCAATAGTTTACTGCTAGTACATAAAAATATGATTGATTTTTATATATTGACTTTATGTACCATGGTCTTCCTAAACTCATTTATTCTAGTAGCATTTTAGTAGATCCTATTGAATTTGCTTCATTGAGGCTCATGTTCCTTGCAAATAAAGGCAATTTTACTTTTTAATTTACAATATTATTTTTTCTTGCCTTATTGAATGGGTTAGAACTTCCAGTACAACATGAGTAGTGCAATACTAAAGCACTTTCTACAAAAGTTCTTTATCAGATTGTGGAAGTTCCCTTTTAGTCTTAATTTGCTGATCATTTTGATTATGAATGGATGCTAAATTTTGTCAAATATTTCTTTCAGGAACCACCCCCCCACCTATTTACTCTCAAACCTTAAGCTGTTTTTGCGAATTTAGGTGCCCCATAAATATTGGTTGAATGAATGGAGCTGGGCTAAATACCTCTGAGAGTGCAAGGTCATACTTCAGCCACTCAGAAGCATGGGATGGGCTTAGGGGAACTTAAGAATATTTGAATGCCTATTCATGTCAGGAGTACTAGATTTGCCTAAATGATCTCATGCAATTTTTACAATATTGCTATGAATTATCTCCATTTTGCAAATGAGAAATGAGTAATAGATGGAATGATTAAAAAGCTATAATATGGTTGGGATGTGTGGAAAAGGTCATGTGTTTCATAACTCAATAGAAAGAAAAAGATAATTATTACGTTCAGAAAATGAATATACAAAGGAGGATGGTTTCACATATTTCAGTTATTTGATGGTGTGAATGGATCAACAGTCCAATTGGTCTGGATATAAAGAATGTCACCTGTGGAATGACAGTTGAACCATTAAGAAGGAAAAGTAATCCTTGCATATAATACTTGGCTCAGCCATGAATAAAAGTCTCACAGTCAAAATAATGTAAATTTAAGTTATTGGTTTGCAACCATGAGGATTCGATCTACTGACAAAGCAAAGAAGATTTAATTTTGCTTACACATCAAAATGCAAATGTTTATCAATTTTGACAAAGAGAAAGTCAAGAAAGATCTGAAGTAAGTTAGAAGGTGGGAGAAAAATGAGGAAATTGTAGGGATATTAACACTCGTATTTTCCAAAAAAGGAACATTTAAACCCCTCTGAGCTTCAGTTCCTCACCTGCAAAATGAGGTGTAAAATCTTACCTAATGGGGCTGTGGTAAGGATTAATGAATGTATGTAAAATGCCTAATATGTGATAGGTACTCAACTAAAAGGAGAAAAGGGTGGCAGGCCTATAGAGAGAAGGAAGTAAACCCATCCCCACTCAACCCTAAGGTCTAGAAGTCACCTTCCTGCTGACACAGTCAGTGCCCAGAAAGCAGGGTGATGAGTCTGAGTAATGAAAGGTCAGGGACTGTGTGTCCAGCCCAGGGCATCTGAATGACATAACAACCCTGCGAGTGATATCATTTTCCCCATTTTACAGTTGAAGGAGTTGACACTCTGAGTGGCCAACTGACTCACAAACAACCAGCCCAAATTGACTAAGCCAGGCTTGAAACCCAGCAACTGTGACTCTAGATTTTGTTGTCTGCCATCAAGTCAAGTGCTACAGTCAATCTGAAACACTGGATGAGCTTGTCCCATATCCTCTCTACACATTTCTAATGAATAGACCCGTAGGTTTAATTAAAGGAGAAAAAAGATTAATAGTTTCTCTCAACAGTTGCAAATTATTTACATTGCATTTGTGTTGATGGCTAATAAAAGAGCAAAGGTGTGTGGGGATAGCCCAGGGTGGCTGTAATTCTTCCAGAGTCCATAATGAAACACTGGTTTGAATGCCAGCTTGTGAGCATGGAGGAACCTGATGTCCCATTCAGACCTGCAGTGGGCAGAGCTGTTCTCTGCCCTGGGCATGATCCAATCCTCAGAAATGGATCTCAGTAGACAAGACCTAAGAAGAAAAAGGCTTGTGTCCCTGCCCCACTAAACTGCCTCTTGGTTGGTTCATGATTGCTGTGCTGTGGAATGGATGAGTGGGAGCAATATGGTGGCCAGCTTGAGGCTACCACCAATCCTGGAGCAACTCTTAAGTGACCTTTTGAAGCATGATGGTTCAGGAAGGGGACAGGAGCCACTGCAGCAGAGATGTTCTCAATTTTATAAGCTCTTGCTTTGCGGTGGCTACTGAAAATTCTGTACTATAATATGTATATGTATATTATAATGTGTGTTATATATTATAATGTGCATGACTATATATTATGATATATGTGTGTGTGCACGTGTGTGTACTTTTTGGATATCACCAAGTATGAGAGTTTTTGGTCTTCCCAATTATTAATTTTTAACCCTGTGGCCATCTTGGGAAAGTCACACCTTGTAAAAATGATTTCTTCATCATTTTCATAATGATCACACCTACCTCTTAGGTTGCTGTGGGGATCATTACATATATGACAGTATCTTTCAAACTGTGAATCAGGGTGTGAGAATTGGTATCAGGATGTCTCTGACTATTCTAGGACTCCCTCTAACCTATTATTTTATTTCTAAAGCACCTACTCTGCACTCAGACTTGTGTGAGTGTAAAAGGACAAACCAAGAGACCACAGTTGAGTAATCAGATTAATATTTGAGGATTATGTTTAATGCCTGTGGAGAGGATGGATTGGAATGGGATAGGATATCTTACTGGAAGACCAGTCAGGAGGCCACTGCAGCCCACCAGAGAGGTGATGGCTGGGTCTGAACAAATCTGGAATTGGCAGATATGGGATATTCACATAGGAATATTACACCAACCCTAGCACAAGGGTTTTTTTTTGTTGTTGTTGTTGTTCTTTTTTTTTTTTAAAAAAAAGATTTTATTTATTTATTCATGAGAGATAACACAGAGAGAAAGGCAGAGACACAGAAGGAGAAGTAGGCTCCATGCAGGGAGCCTGGCGTGGGACTTGATCCCAGGTCTCCAGGATCAGGCCCTAGGCTAAAGGCAGCGCTAAACCACTGAGCCTTGTGGACTCCCCCCAGCACAAGTTTTATTTAAATTCTCTACCCTTCATGAGTGCCTGTTGATCATAAGTTTCTTGTATTCATTTGTTAGGACTGCCTTAACAAAGTACTACTAACTATGTGGCTTAGAATAACAAAAATTTATTGTCTCACCATTCTAGAGGCCAGAAACCTGAAATAAAGTTGTTGACGAACCATGCTTACTCTGAAGGTATGAGGGAAAGGTCTGTCCCAGGCATCTCTCCTGGCTTTGGTAGTTAGTTCCTTGGCTGGTGGCAACAGAACACAGGCAATCACATGTGTGCATGTATGTCTCTGTCCAAATTTCCCCTTTTTGTAAGGACACCAGTCATTTTGGATTAAAGCCTGCCCAGATGACCTCATTTTTACTTGATTACCCCTTTAAAGAATCTCTCCAAATAAGGTCACATTCCAAGGTACTGAAGGTTAGGACTCCTACCTATCTTTTTTTTTCCAGGGTCACAGTTCAAACGGTAACATTTATTTGGTATGAATTTTGAGTGTGTTAATTTTCCATTAGATAATGTATCATTCACCTGGTCAAATTACTGAAGAACAACTTAAATTGCTTGGCAATTTAGACCATTAAGATATAGTTTTCAAGTGATCAGAGAATATTCAAATGTCTGTTGTATCTTTACACATATGTTGGTACTTATACAGATAAGTATGCATATAAAATGCAGTAACAATATGTAATGATGGATCAGATTAGGAGGTCAGAAATGAGGTCAGAAATTCAAGCACACAGCCATGATCTGCTAGTTCATGGATTGGTAATGGGTTTTAACCCTGAAACATCTATTAATAGTAACATTTAAGAACTAAAGGTTTTAGCCAGTTTTTAATAGTAGCCATCTACACTGGGGATCCAGAAGTAGAAATAAGGGGATTTGGGTAAGGTTTTAGAGCCCAAGATGTGTTTGAGTCTTGATGCTGCCCTGTTTAGAGCCCAAGATGTGTTTGAGTCTTGATGCTGCCCTGTGTACCTTACGTGAATTGTTGAACTTCTCTCTGAATCTCACTTTTCTGAAGGTTACTGAGGTATAAAATGGGACTAACGTGCTCTTCTCTCATGTGGTTGTTGGATGAGAGCCTATCACTAATATTATATTAATACTATCATAGTGTTATTATTATATAATATCAATATTATAATTGTATTATTATTATTATGGATTAGCTAGTCAAGTGATGACCTTGAAAGTCAAACTTTATTTTGTTTTTCCATTCTATTCTAGTCAACAAGCATAAACCATGGATCGAGACTTCATATCACGGAGTCATAACTGAGAACAATGACACAGTCATCTTGGATCCACCACTTGTAGCCCTGGATAAAGATGCACCAGTTCCTTTTGCAGGTGAGATGATGGCTTACTATGGTTGTGCTTGGCTCAGTTTGGAGACATGCTGGGAAACCTCCACAGAGCCCAGGCCTAGGCTATATATATATATATATCATCCCCTGTGCGTCTCATAGATCATCCTGTGATTTCAAAGCTGTATGCCTCTTCTGACTGCTGCTATGGTTCTGATATCTGATATGGTTCTGATTTCTGATTTTTTTTTCCTTGGTATTGCCTCCAATGCAATACCTTTATTTTGTTTTCTGAGAGATGGTATATTACTGAGGTAGCCTCTTGGGATTGGAAAACCTAGGCTAGTAGAGTCTGTAGGGGGATAGTTTTCTCTCTAGAAAGATGACCTATGGATGGATTAGTTTGTGACCCCCTGTCTATCTATATATCATGAACAGGTGAAGACTTATAGCTTGGTAGGTTGGCAAGAGAAAAGGGAAAGAAAAAAAGGACCAGGAAATATTTGCTAAGGATAGGACAGGGCTGTGCCCTCAAGCTTCACAGTGGGTGTGGCTTTTGGTGGAAGAATCAGAAGACCGTGCCATTTTGCTTTCTGCAGCATGTGACTAGAGAGTCTTCTTATTATCATCAAAATTATGACCGCTTCCTTCTCTAACATCCTGTAAGGGCCAGGCCTCAGGAAGGGTCTGTGAAGAATATGGCTATGTCTCATTTTTACACAGATTTTGGCAAAGAGAAGGGGATGGCTGGTGGTAGCGAGAGGAGAGAATGGACAAAGAATTTCTGAAGATGCTGCATCATGAATAATATTGTTAACATTTTATAACTGTCAGGAGAAAGACAGGAAATTTAATGAAGGTTTTCAAGATTTCTAGAAGATTGCTTTATGATAGATGGGTGCCAGGCTGAAGTTTTCACCATGATGAAGTCTATTTTTTCTGACAGTTTGTCTGCTACATTATGAGCTACTTGGGCAAAAAAAAAAATCAGCTCTTTCACATTCTAAGAGATAAGCTCTATGAAGGCCCTTTTTTCATTACAGAACATTGTAAAGTAAGGAGCAAGGAGGTGGGTTACATGGGGAAATTCCGTGTTACGTGAAGATAAACCCATAAGCATCCTTTTGGAGCATGGAGGAGATATCTTGACTCTCAGAAGAAGGCTTTATCATTATTATATGTAGAATGATAACCACGAATGGCACCTAACTGTGACTTCCATGGTGTTTAGGGTTAGGATATTTCCATATATCCTCCAGCCATCCTCAGAGGTCCTGGCTCAACAAATTCCACTTGGAAGTGTGAATCTTATGCTGTCTTTTCCATAAAAGATGAGTTGTCATCCCCAGACCTTCTCTGCCAGCCTGGGAATATTCCAATGCCTCCACTTCTTGGGCATAACTAGGTGATACTAGGGTTAATCAGCAATTCTTAACACTCCCCCCTACCCCCCCCCCATTCTGGGAATGAGAGTTTAAAATAAACACTAGCAAAACTGTTTGGGTGATGGAAATGTTTGGTTTGGCATGCACTGTATGCTTAACAAAATAGAGGCAGTATTTAAAAATTGGGAGATTTAGGATAAAAAGGCAGGATTCTGGTTTATCTTGATGAACCAGATCAGAAACACAGGGCTGAGTCATTGCTTCCATCTTTAGACTGAGCATGTGCTCCTGGCTTCCCTCAGCCCCTTCTCTATAGTCTATGCACAGAGGTCCTGCCATCAAGCAGGTCCTCTCGTTCACCTTTCTTTTCGAGTGTGTGATTCCTCTTTAAAATGTAACAGGAAAAAACCCATGACATATTAAACAGGAAGTAAATGTGTGCCATTAAGTCACTTTAGTGTAATGAAGCTAACGCTTTGAAAGATGAAGGATGTGTCTGATTCCTCATTATGTCTACCCTCAGCATAGCCCTGTTCTCCTACAATAGTGAACTAAGAAACTGAAGTTGTTGAAGAAGCTGTCCTACAGTAAAGATATAAGCTCTTTAATGCACAGATCAAAATGGGAAGAAAAACAGTTTAAGTAAATCTGATATTTGAAGGTTGAACTTATAAGAGGTTACTTGTTTTGCTTGATTATGGGGCTGCAGAACAATTAATAATTCCACCTTAAGATTCACCAATGGGCTTCATAAATCATGAATCAATTTATCCAATGCCTTTAAACTTGAATTTGTAGAATTTATATTCTGACCATTAGATGTGCCCACTGGTTTTCAGGCACATCTGGAAACTAAGATTTGCTTCTAAGCCAAGCCCTGAGTAGTTATTTCCATCTGAAGAAAATTTCTATGCTCCTCTTGATATTTGCAGCTGCATAAAAAAGATCTAGCTTAATGCATCAAAATATAATCTTCCAAAGCTCTTAAGAGTAAAAAATAAAGGTGCTTTTTGGAATGGTCAAAGCTATTTTTCTCAGTGTTATTTATGATCAGCTCTAAGACAGGACACGGGCACTAGCCATCCATCCGTGCTACAGACGTTTATTTTAAAACATTTATCTTAAAAAGAAAATACTGAAGATTTATTTCAGATCCCTATCATTCTCATAAAATTGAAAAATTCATATCTGCCAGCTCCATCAGTTCTGGAAGTCAACTGCAGCTTTTAGTCTCCCCCTTATCAACTGTTCTTGTATTGTGTGTCAGTTTTTCCACCCCTTTCCCACTGGTCTTTATTTCCAATTTAGCCTATGAGGTGAGCTCTAAGCTTGTTGGGAGACGGTTCCAGCCATATCATTTTTGCTCTGTCTCATCTCTTTTGTGATTTCCCCCATTTAAAAACTTTTCTAAGAAAAAATTTCCTATGTATTTTACATAGGAAGTCATGATTGTGCTTTGCATATAAATGCAAAATCATGGATATGGAATAGCTTTTACTGTATTTTTCCTGATTATGACAATAAGTGTTTATTGTAGAAAATGTGAAAAATATAGTGAAACACAAAAAAGCATGAAAAATGTGTTTTCTTACCTCCAGAGAGAGCTTCTGTTAACATTTTGGTGTATTTCCTTCCAGTCAGTTTTCTACTCTTTTTTTTTTTTTTCCAAAAATTGTGATCATACCTCATATTCAATTCTTTTTTTTTTCTAAAGATTTCTTTGTTTATTCATGAGAGACACAGAAAGAGAGGCAGAGACATAGGCAGAGGGAGAAGCAGGCTCCTTGCAGGGAACCCAATGCGGAACTCGATCCCAGATCCTGGGATCATGCCCTGAGCCGAAGGCAGATGCTCAACTGCTGAGCCACCCAGGCATCCCCTCATATTCAATTCTAACAATTTATTTTTCCCACTAAACTAGTGAAAATATACCATTTCATTAAGTATTATTCTGCATCTGATTAAATAGCTACATAATGTCCTTCTATAGCTTACCATTCTCTGTTTTTTGGCTTTATTAAGATAAAATTGTCATATCACATGGTGTAAGTTTAAGAAGTACAACATATTGATTTGATAAACTTCTATATTGCAAAATGATTACCACCATAGTGTTAGTTAACACCTCCATCACCTCAAATACTCACCATTTGTGTGTGTGTGTGTGGTGAGAACATTTAAGATCTACTCTCTTAGCAATTTTCAAGTAAATAATACAACGAATGTTGTTAACTATAATCACCAGGCCATACAGAGTTACTCAGTTCATTTAGAAACTGAAAGTTTCCACCCTTTGATAATATTTCCTAATTTCCCCCATTCTTCACCCCTGATAACCACCATTCTACTCCCTATTTCTGTGAGTTTGGCTTTTTAAAGCCAATTTCACATATAAGTGAATCTACATATAAGCAATATTATGTATATGATACAAGCAATTGCACAGATAAGCCATATAGATTTCATGTACAAGTGAGATCATACAGTGTTTGTTTCTCTGTGGTTAATTCCAGTGACCATAATGTCCTCACAGTCCATGCATGTTGTCACAAATGGCAAGATTTTCTTCTTTCTCATGGCTGAATAACATTCCATTGTGTGTGTGTATGTATGTATGTATCACATCTTCACATCTTCTTTATCCATTTATCCATTGACAGACACTTGAGTTGTTTCCACATCTTGGCAATTGTGAATTATGACATGGGGATGCACATATCTCTTTGAAATCCTGAATTTATTTCCTTTGGATATAAACCCAGAAGTGGGATTGATACATCATATGGTATTTCTATTTGTAATTTTTTTGAGGAACCTCCATACTGTTTTGATAGTGGCTATACCATTTTACATTCCCACCATCAGTGCACGTGTTCCCTTTCTCTGCATCTTTGCCAACACTCATCTCTTGTCTTTTTGATGATAGTCATTCTGACAGGTATGAGGTGGTAAGCAACTTCTCTGTTACAATTCTTTTTTAATATACTGTGTCTACCTTTGTGGTTCTACCATTTGAGTGGATTTCCAGAATTGGAATTATTTGGTCAAACGTTTGAAAGTTCCAGGAACAGGACACGTGGGTGACTTCATTGGTTAAATGTCCTGACTCTTGATCTCAGCTCAGGTCTTGGTCTCAGGGTCATGAGTTCAAGGCCCAAGTTGGGCTCCACACTGGATTACAAAAACTAATTAATCATAAAAATGGATGAATAAAAGAGAAAGTTCCAGAAACATGTTAAATTGCTTTCCAGAATGGTTGTATGAGTTTGCAGTCCCATTCTCGTCGCACTAGTCTCGTTCCCTGGGCCCTGTGTGGCTTATTCTACTGGTGTTATTTAGTGACCGTGTGTTAGAATCACTAATCATGGTAGCCTCACTATCTTCATCTGTAAAATAATACAAACTTTCTAGATTTGTTGTTTTGATTAAATTTAAAGAATGTGGCGCACGTTATCACGATTTGAGACATGGTAGGAACTTAATGCATCCAAGGGTTTGTGTGTTTTTTGTTTTTTGTTTTCCATATCCTTTTCTCTGCCCGTTTTTGTAGAGGAGGTAACCAACTCGAAAAGAGGCCAAGCAGCTTGCTCAGTATCCCAGAGCAGGCCAGCCATGTGGCAGGGACTGCAGCCTGGGGATTTTCACCACTTGCTCTGAG